TAGATAAATATTGGAAAGAAAAAAGTTTAATATTACCAAATTTATCAAAAATAGCATTGATTTATATTTGGTTACCAGTAGCTGGAGTAGATATAGAGCGCAGTTTTTCTAATTATAAAAATATTTTAAGTGAAAGAAGGATGCGCCTTTCTGAAAAATCTATTTCAATGCTTAATTTTTTATATTATTAATAAAAATAAATAAATTGATTTTTTTTGCGAAATCATTTTTACTTTAATAATTTTACCTCTAAAATTTAAAAATTTAAACATAATTTTTACCAGAATTATGAACACATATTATCGCATATTTTATTTATTAGCACATACATATTTTGAGATTTACCACCACATATTTCTGGACACCCTAACGTGAATTTTAAAGAACGTACGATAAATATTTGATTAATTCGTTAGTTCTTACAGCAAAATAGATAGAATGTCAGCTATCTGTATAAATTATCTTGATCTATTTAATGATCAATTTCTTGTCAAGTTAAGCAAGAATTGGCCTTGGAAAGACGCGTCATTCGGTATAAAAAAAAAGAAAAAAAATAATTCACAAAAAAAATCAAATTGTTATTATAAGATACAACTTTTTTCATATCAACCATATTTTGTACCAAAATCACGAATAAAGATATCTTTTAAAAGTACATATAGTTTTCACCTTCTAAAGACTTGTCTCATTACAAATGATAGTCATAAATCATTTTACAATGCTATACAGATCTTACTTTATTTCTGCTGGAATCACAAATTGATTTATTTTAGAAAAAACGATAATAATGATAATTCATTACTTCCGACTGTCAAGTTTTATATGGAACTGAACCCAGGTGAACAAGTTGTATGGTTACCTTGTTTAAATTGGTATAAAAATCTTTACGTTTTCAAATTTGTGCATTATGTAATATTTACAATTAATTATTATTGCTGTTTTTTTTTTATTAGGACACGAAAACTTTATTCTCTAATAGCTCGGCAGGAAATGTTTCTCTTTCAAAGTACATTTTTTTCGGTTATTGGCGGAGCTTATTCTGCACTTGGAAGATATAATAAAGAACATGTATGAAAAAAAAATCAAATTTTGAAATATTTGTTGGACAATTATTATAATTATTATTATCATTATTTTTAACAAAAAAAAAACTAATTAAATGACGTATTTTATTATATTTTATTAGGCAGAAAAAGCCAAACATCTCGCACGTAACCAAATCATATTGGCTAAAAAATTACGAGATCCAGTGTTAGAATGTAAATGTTGGATTTATTACGCTGAAGGCTTGATTCAGCTTGGAAAATTTAAAAAATCTGCACTTATAATCGAACGACAGGAAAAAATTGTGGCGGATATGCTTAAAAGTGATGAAACAGTAAATATTGTTTATATGTTTTTGCTTTTCTTGCCAAAGTATGTTTAAACATTTGTCTAAATCTTTTTTGATTAATAGCTATTGAATATGTGTGAGAGTGCTAAATTGAAACTAATGGCAAATTCTACAAAAAATTATAATTCGAGAGGGTCTTAATACATCTTATTTCAAAGCAAATCAAAGGTGATCAAAATAATGGAAATATTAATATTTATTTATTTATTTACGCGAAATTATATTAACGTTTTTATTTTGATTTTTTAGAGCTTTTAAACCATTTTTTTTTTTTAAAAAAAAGAGAAAATTTAAAATTTGGGATCGTTTCCAGTAAAATCAAGTCATGAAATATAGTAAATCATATGATCCGTAATGTGATTTCACTGTTAACGCTTAATAATGAGTTTGATAATAATGTATTAGTATTATTTTAATTCACTTTTCAAGGAGATCTTCTGATATCGGAATATATGGTTTAGTTCGTGCAATGACTGTTAAATGGTTGATATAGATATTAGTGAAAGGTGTTGATGCATTTTATATTACAAGTCAAAACAATCACAATATACAAAAGTAAAAAGTGGAATCGCTCTTATAATCAAAGATTTTCAAATAAAAAAGTTGCTATTCTAAAAGAACAACCGATAATTCCAACATTAATACTGCACTTGTTTGTTATATTTACTACCATTGTTATAAACTCCATGCATAATATAAAATAGTAAAAAAAAACTTGGTATATTTTTAACAATGTTTGAATTGGAATTGACCAACCTTAAATAATTGTATATTTATAAAGATCCTATAAATCAACTAAGTAGAAATGCCAATTAGATCATTATATTTAATTATTCAATTCATATTTATATATATATAAGTATTTTATATAAAATTAATAAAACAATTTTTTTCTTTCTTATAATAAAATTCTTTAATAATAACTTTTTTTAAAATAATTATCAAATATATGATTATATATGAATGTTAGCTATCTAAATCAATATAATATAATGATAATATATTGGCTTAAATAGCTTAGATAGATTATAATAATAAATATAGAAAAATTGCTAGAAAAATCAGATTTTAGAAATTTTTTGACTAAAATTAAGACCTTATATTTTAATCTAATAATTTCAAAAATTAAAATACAATAAAAATCAAAATTTTATTAAACTTCTCAGTCTATCAATTTTCCTGTATAATCTAATAATTTTATTATTATTATTTTAGATTTTATTTAATGATGATGATTTAAAAATCATTATAATATAATAACTAGGTAACGGAAACCATTAGAGCGTCTGAAGCATTTAAATTAGTTAAATAACTATACATAATAAAATATAGTTCAACTGTAATACAAAAAATTAGTATTCTATAAAAATAATCTTAAAAAAAAATTTTTTTAAAATTTTTCATATTAATAAACTTTTATAAATACATTTTGCAATGAAGGAAAAAATTTATATTAAATTATTATACAAACATATAAATAATATAAAGCTAAATATATATTTATTTTCATCACTAAATTTTCATCATATCTGAACTAAAGATTATCTATTTGAAATCATAGAAGTTAACTGTCTCTATTTAGCCAATCTTTCTTATAACCTCTTACTAGTTTTAACGCATTAGAATCTTTCAAGTGAAAATAAACTAAATATGATATTTTTAAGAGTACAGATACAGGATATTATCACAAATGAGAGACTGGTAGCAAACTTTTTTTTACTAAAAACTATACCAATCTTTTATATCATTAAATCCTGATTTTTATGTATCGTAATGATTCACATAAGGCAAATAGAAATTTGTAAGCGTAAGCAAAAACCTTTTTTTCCTTTACATGTAAATTTAACGAGTATAATCAGAACTAGTTTTTATCTTCAGTAATCACAACAGTAGAACTAGCATAATTATCAAATTCTATTAGAATTGCATTAGAAAGAGAAGACGAACCTTAATTTTCTTTAAAAATGATCTCTTTAACAATTTCTACTAAACTATTAACCAATATACCTTCAGTTTATAAGTTAATTCTAAGCATAATTTTCACATATTTCACTAGTAATAAGTGAGTATCAAGACCTTTTGCAATATCAAAATCTGTTTTACGTACTTCATTATTATCTGTATAAATAGCATTAATCGCAGTTACAAGATATTTTAAGAATGTGAGCTTATTGAAGTTAAATTCATCAACATCAGACCTCTGAGGGATAATACATGTAACATTCAAAAAGTAATTATAATTTAAAATTAAAATGATTGGTGAATCAGAGAATTGCATAGTTAATAACTTTCAGTTATCTTCAGTAGATTTACCATCATGTAAATACAATAAAAGTAATTTAAAATTACATTGTTCTTCTGAATCTTCTAATTAATATTAAATAATATTAAATCTATAGACCTTTCAAAATTGAAAATACATTACAATACTATTACTTGATAATAAATCATGATAAGGGATTTAAGAGTATATAGGATTATCAAACACTAAAGGAAATTGACTGAAGTCAACAACTAGAATAAGCAAGTGATTACTAAATACTTGATTTTAATATTCAAGAAAAACTTAATATAGTTATATATTAATTAAGGCAAGCATACAATACCTAATTATGCTTTTTTCGTCAATAATAAAATAGCTAACCCTTTAATATATTTTGTAGTTTTTTTAGACTTTCACTGTTTAAATCAAAAGTTAAACTAAAATGAAAAGTATTAAATGGATAATTATATCATGAATATTAAATACCGCAACTCCTGTAAATGCAAGTAAAATAATAGATAATTCAGTATTAATATTATGACTTCTTGTAATTTCACAAAATTGATTACAAATTATATTGATCAAGTATGATTTTCCTATACCTGCAGTTCCTATTAAGATAAGTCTTAACGATTTAAGATATAAATTTGTAATTAAATTATAAAAATAAGATTCAATTCGCTTAAATACCATCATCTACTTCTCATTTAAAGTTTGATAATTTGCAACATAATTTACTACATTATCATCATTAATCAGATCTAATTCACAAACTTGCCAAATAAAGTTTAATATATCTGCAAGATTAAGATAAAAATAACCTTATCTAATGTTAGTATTTTGCATAGATTTGAATCGATCTGAATCCAATCTGAATCTGACAGATCAGATTCAGATTGGATCTGTCAAATTCAGATCTAATTCAGATTCAGATTCAGATTAGATCTGAATTCAACTTTTTTAAAGTCAAAAAGTTCCTTTTCAATGAAAAGAGACAAATTTTCAGACTTCTTTTAAGCTAAAAATTTGTTTTCTTTCATTGAAAAGAAATGAATTTTCAGATCTCTTTTAAAACTAAAAAGTTTCTTTTATTGAAAAAGAACAAATTTTCAGAATTCTTTTAGAGCTGAAAAATTTTTTTTATTAAAATGAAACGAATTTTCAGAATTCTTTTAAAGCTGAAAAGTTCTTTTTATTAAAAAGGAATAACTTTTCAGAATTCTTTAAAGCTGAAAAGGTTCCTTTTAATAAAAAGAAATGACTTTTTAGAATTCTTTTAGAGCTAAAAAGTTTCTTTCAATGAAAAGGAACAAATTTTCAGACTTTTTTTGAACTAAAAATTTATTTTTTTTTATTGAAAAGAAATGAATTTTCAGATCTCTTTTAGAACTGAAAGTTCCTTTCATTAAAAAAGAACAAATTTTTGGAACTCTTTTAGAGCTGAAAAGTTCCTTTTATTAAAAAGAAACGAATTTTCAAAACTCTTTTAGAGCTGAAAAGTTTCTTTTATTGAAAAGGAATAACTTTTCAGAATTCTTTAGAGCTGAAAAGGTTTCTTTTAATGAAAAGAAATGACTTTTAGAACTCTTTTAGAGCTAAAAAGTTTCTTTCAAAGAAAAGGAACAAATTTTCAAACTTCTTTTAAGCTAAAAATTTGTTTCCTTTCATTAAAAAGAAATGAATTTCAGAACTCTTTTAGAACTGAAAAGTTTCCTTTATTGAAAAGAAATGAATCTTCAGATCTCTTTTAGAGCTGAAAAGTTCCTTTCATTGAAAAGAAATGAATTTTCAGATTTCTTTTAGAGCTGAAAAGTTTCTTTTATTGAAAAGGAACGACTTTTCAGAACTCTTTTAGAGCTAAAAAGGTTCCTTTTAATGAAAAGAAACGACTTTTCAGAACTCATTTAGAGCTGAAAAGGTTCCTTTCAATGAAAAGGAATGATTTTTCAGAACTCTTTTAAAGCTGAAAGGTTTCTTTCAATGAAAAGAAATGACTTTTTAGAACTTTTTTAAAGCTGAAAGGTTCCTTTCAATGAAAAGAAACTTCTCAAAACTCTTTTAGAGCTGAAAAGGTTCCTTTCAATAAAAAGAAATAACTTTTCAGAACTCTTTTAGATCTGAAAAGATTTCTTTCAATGAAAAGAAATAACTTTTCAGAACTCTTTTAGAGTCAAAAAGGTTCCTTTCAATAAAAAGAAATGACTTTTTAGAACTCTTTTAGAGCTAAAAAGGTTCCTTTTAATGAAAAGGAACAACTTTTTAGAACTCTTTTAAAGCTGAAAAGGTTCCTTTCAATGAAAAGAAATGACTTTTTGGAACACTTTTAGAGTCGAAAAGGTTTCTTTTAATAAAAAGGAATGACTTTTCAGAACTCTTTTAGAGCTAAAAAGATTTCTTTCAATAAAAAGAAATGACTTTTGGAACTCTTTTAAAGCTGAAAAGATTCCTTTCATTGAAAAAAAAATATTTTCAGATCTCTTTTAAAACTGAAAATTCATTTTTTCTATAATACTTTCAGATTCAGATCAGATCAGATTTGAACTTAAACTGATTTGTCAGATCTGGCTTTTCCTTTGAAGGAATTATATCCAAAATCAAAATCCTTTATAGAAATTACTTCAGAAGCAAATTTCTTTAAAAAAATTTAGCCCTAAATGCGTTTTTCTTTAAAAAATACTACTAAATGTGATTTTCTTCAAAGGAAATATCATCAGGTTTATTTTTCTTTAAAATAAATATAACTAGATTTATTTTTCTTTAAAAGAAACATTATCAGAGCTATTTTTTTTTAAGTAAATGCCATCAGAATATCTTTCCTTCAAAGAAAAACCTCCTTTGGATTTATTTATTTCAAAGAAAAATGCAAACCAATGAGCTGAGCTATAGTATAAACTAAGCCACAACATAAGTCAGCTTATTTAGCTCGCAGCTCATTTTATAGTGGCTTGAGCTAAGCCTAGATGAGCTAGCTCATTTGACTTATAAGCGGCTCATCTTATTGCAAAACTCTATTTATTATTCAAATTAATATAATCTTACAGGTCATCGTGCAGTTTCTCAAGATGTTTTTGACATAGATAAAGATCAGAAACTGGTGTATCAATGTCAAGATTAATCTAGTAACTAATGAATCAAGATACTGCACTACAGTATTTATCATTTTTTCATCTTCTTTCATTCTTATCTATTAATATTAGATGCATCTTTTCTCTTTCTAATGCTATATATATAAAAGCTTTTACAATGTTACTATTAGAATTGATATTAATAATCTTCAAAGTTTCATTTAAATATCAATATCTTCTTTAGAAATAATTTAAAATATTTTTTAAACAACTAAGTGTAATATGAGAATTATTAATCAGATTATGACATCTATATTTAGATAATTTCTTTTCTGTCAATATATTCATAAAATCATGTGAAGCATACTGCAACAAAATCAGACAAAGTGAATATTTTATTATGTAATATGAATGAGAAGCTGATTGTAATGTAACTATAGAATTGACCAGTGTGACTGATAACATTTTAAAAAGTAATAATGGTGCTAATTCATAATTTATGAACTTGTTAATTTTAATGCTTACTTTATCATACCAGAATATGATGAATATAAACTATAATATGATTAATATAGGATTACCTCTATATATAAAAATATTAATATAAAACTAATTTACATCAAATCTATAATGGAACCCAAAAATTATATTACTATTAGAAGCATTTTAAAAAAAAAATAAGGTGAAAAAATTGCTTCTTATATTTTCAAAATAAATGATACTTAAATACTAAAAGCTTATCTAAGAAAAGAAAGGATTACCTATGAAATTTATTATGAAGAAAGAAAAATAATAAATATTAGAAAAAGAAAGCATAATAGAGATGTATTGTTATCTAATAAAAAGCAAAAATTCTTAGAAGGAAAATAATTTTATTATTACAATATTGATTTATTTTTTACTGACTATTACTACAAAGAAAATTCCCTTTTATCAAAATGTAATTAATGATCATCATATTGCATTATTTATTAATAAAAATGTTATTTGAATTTTTGAACAAAAAATTCTATCACATTCAAAGGATATGTTTTATGAGTTTTTGTTTTTCTTTTATTAATATTGAAACAAGATAAATAATCCACCTTATATTAAAACATTATAAAGACATTACTAATTCACTTAATTTTCAGGTAAAAAAATTTAAATAACAAATCCTTCTAATAATCATCATTAAACAATTTTATTTTTTAGTTTAAAAAAAAATAAATAATCAATAAATATTTACATAATTTTCATTCATAAAAATATTTTAAAAAAAATGTTTACATTTAATAACAAACTTTTTTGTAGATTATTAATTGGACTTTTTCTTGGTTTCTTAATTTACCATAAAATCTACCAAAATCAACTTCACACTATAAATCAAAAAATTGACCAAAAAATTGATAAAATAGAACCAAAAAGGAAACAATTTAAAAATAAAACAAACCACCTTACTAGTGATAAATAATATTCACAAAAAAAAGAAAATCTATTGAAGAATTTCAAATAATTATTTGACAAAAATATTGGGTTGAATCCTAATTTTTCATTTAATAAAATGGTCATTGAAATTCGCCAATTACTAGAATATAGAAAAGGAGTTGCTACTTTCACAATAAAAAAATTCTATTAACAAAAAACCAATCCTAGAAGTTAAATAATAGAAGCAATTCAGGAATGGGTCAACAAAGAAAAGAAGAAAAAGGTGTAGAGTAAAAATTATGAAGAAGATAATGAAGATACAAATATTAATAATAACATTATTGATAATAGTAATAATAGCAGTAGTAATAGTAAAAGTTGAATTTTTGTCAGAATGCTTAAAGAATAAGTAATACTTACAAATGACTTTGAGTCTGAGTATTTTCCTTTTATGTAAATGCTCTGACAATTCTTTAACTTATATTTTTATAAATTGTTTATTTATGTATTTTTCTATTATTAGTTGAATTAAAATAAAAATAATTTTATTTTGTCGTTAATTCATTTATTTGTAAAAAAAAATTTTTTTTAATTCTAAGTCATGTATCCACTAATTTATCATTGATCATAATTATTTATAGAAATAATTAATTGTAACAATTATAATCTAAATCAATAAAAAAAAAATTTATTTTTAAATTTTTTTTTACTTTTAAGAAAATGGCAATGTATAAAGGAATCGAACAAGAATTAAATGATGCAAAGGTGAGATTGGACAAGGCAATGAAGAATTTGAAGACATTTGAAGAAGGAGAAAATGATAGGAAGTGGTTGAAGAAGTTGAGAAAAAAGTTGAATAACAAAGAATGGGAAAACAAAAGACAAAAATAAAAGCGAAAAAAGAGTATAAGAAGTTTAAAGAAGAAAGAAGTTATTGAAGGTGGAGAAGAAGAGGTGGAGAGATCAGATAGAGTACTTACAAAAAAAACTAGTTAAATTTGAAGAAGAAAAAGATAATAAACAAATTACATAAAAAAAAATTATTTTTTGTTCTTTTTATTTTATTTATTTATTTTTTAATTTTAATATTTCTTTTCATATTAGATTTTAAGTAAATACATCAGGATAAAAATGAAAGGCAGAAGACTTTGATATCACAACAGCTAAAAAGACTTTCACTGAAAAATTTGTGCATTCAAATAACTTTATAGATGAATTCTAAAATCATATTAAGTATCGTTTGAATACATATAAAAAGGATCCCTCATATACTTTATACTTCACTCTTATTCAAAATTCAGAATATGGTAAATCTTATTTGATTGCTAAATTAGCTCAAAACATCTATGTTGTTTACATCTATTTACGACTAGAAAATGTCAATAGATATTCTCTTTGTATTAGTATTATAAGAAATATGATGAACTATTTGCAAAATTAGAAAAAACCAGAAATTGTTATTGATTAATTTCAAATATTTTTAAAAAAAACTATTGCTGTGCTTATTGAAAAGCTTTAAAATAAAGAGCTTTCATGTCCAAATGATTTTTGAAACATACAAATGAGTTCAGATACTAAAAAAAACTTTTGAGATCAAGTAATTCAGAAAATGAATCATAATATTCAATTTATATCTAATGATATACCTTTTCAACATTAAGAAAATAGCACTTTGCATCTTTTTCTCTGTTTTGATGAAGCATGTCAATTGCTTTCTGATAAAGATGATAATGTATTATTAACTTTTAAAATAATTTATCATTTTATAAAGCATATTGGATAGGCTAAATATGGGTTTCTTTGTGTTATGCTTGATACAATAGGAAAGTTAGCTAACTTTTCACCTCTAATAAAATGAAATCCTTCTCACAAAATTAGAGATAAAAATATCAAGCTACTTCTACCATTTATCAATATCATGATATTTGATGCATTTGATTACAAATTGAAAGATCATCCAAACTATTGCTTACTCTTTGGCAGACCATTATAGAGATCTAGTGTTATTGCAAGAAAAGATATTAAAGAAGTAGTGGAATTTGCAAAATGCAAACTTTTGGAAGGATACCAATTATTAGATTTGACAAAATCAATAGAATATATATTTAAAGATGAAGAAAATAGATTTACTGTTTCTTTGGCTATATTAAGCTGTTTTGTCTCTCTAGATATTTTAACTCAATCTCAGCTTACCCATTTATTAGTGGGCAGTTATATAGATACTTGTATTGGTATTTCAAAAAGTAAAGAAAATATTTTAACTATGTATTCCTCTGAACCTATTCTTTCTGAAGTTGCTTTACAAATTATTAAAATTGAAACAAATAGAAGATTCATCTTTGATTAACTTAAAACTTCATTAAAGAATAAGCTTATTGAAGCAGAATATTGTGAGGAACTTGTTGTATATCTCATTTTCATATTTGAATTGTAACATATGTTACAAGATACATCTTTTTATACAGAAAAAAGTTCTGTAGAGGAATTTTTGAACACAATTTTTGAAGACATTAAAACTCACATTAGGGAAAATAATAAATTCAAACATCTAAAACTTGGAGAGAGTTTTCTAGAATCAAAATTTATTTTACACATTTCATTTAGCTCATTGAATCATCAAATTGTCTAGTTCTAAAAAATCTTTTTAACCATAGTGTAAGAGCAATTTTAAAACATAATGCATATGATGCCAATCTTATAATACCTGTCAAAATAAATAATTCATCACAAAAAAAGTACTTATATATTACAAGTAAAAAATTACTCAATTTCTAGACAAGCATTCATATATAATGCTACTAAAAAGTTATCACCATCTAATGTCTTTAAAGAGAATGAATTAGCTAATCTTAGATTACCTTATTTATATTTTTATTGATCACTAAGTACAATTACTGATAATTTAAACAAAGAATCATTAGAACCATTTTCCTTTTTTTTTCTAGATCTTAAAAATAAATTGTATACTATATTATTTGCATACATTAATCCATTTGGCAGTTTATGAAAGCAAGAATCAACAATCTATCTTAAATAACATAAAAAAATTGTTAGGATATTCTTTCCAGATCTAAAAAAAATGAAATGAAAATCTTTTGTAAAGTCATATCTAACAAATTAATTTAAAATATTATTAATTTATTAGAAAAGATATCTCATTATCATTTCTTGAACTTTTTACTATATTTTTATCTAAAAAAATAATAATAACTTTCTTGTAATCATAAAAATTTTCATTAATATAATAATTCTTTTTATTAATAAAAACTAAATATCTTATGTCCTATTAACATATTCTCTCTGTATTTTCTCTTATCCTATTCTGAATTATTGTAAAAAAGGTTAATTAAAAAGTTGAATGAAACTTTATTGCAAAAACCTACAAAGCAAACATAACATTATAAAATTATATATATAGAGATAAGTATATATGAAAAGTAATAATGTAAATAATAATTATAATGGTTCTAATGAATATTAAAAAGCATTTTTTAGAAAAAGAATATAATTGTGAATGCTCTTCAAGAATTCTAAAAAAAAATTTTGCAGAATTAAGAAAATCTTTTCAAGCTCTTTCTAAACTAGAACAAAATATATTTTTAATAGTCCAATTTAAGGTAATAAATGGTAAATTAATAAACATTAGTAAACGTCTTAAAAAGAAAACCAGATCTAATAAAAGAACTTTCTACTATTGGGATCATAATACACTTCTTTGTCAAGAAACTTATCTCAATATGCTAGGAATTGGTAGAACTTATTTTGAAAATATCAGAAATTATCTAATAAATAATGGTCTTTTAACAAAAATTCATAGTAATATTAAAAAAATGCTTCAATAGAAAACTAAGATAATGATTGATAAAAATGTTGCAGAAGTAGTAAAGAATTTTTTAGAAAATTATGCAGAAGTCTATAGATTATTAAGTTCAGAAAAAAATATCAATAGAATAACTTAATCAATTATATTTTTATCAGCTAAAATGAGTTATAAATCTGTACACAGAGATTTTCTGGTTGGTTTAGAAGAAGATAGCAAATTGAAATCATTAAAATATGATGCTTTTAGAAAATTATGACATCAATTGACACCAGAAATTCAAATTATGAGTTCTAGGACTGATTTGTGTGATACTTATCAACATTTTAGAAATGGTTTACATTATAATGCTCACCAAGAAGAAGAAGCTAAAGAATTACTCAAAATATTTAAAAAACATCTGTCTAAAGCAAAATTAGAAAGAAATTATTATAATAAAAATACCAAATTAGCAGAAGAATAAAGAAAATTAATTAATCAATATTATTCAAAGGGTAAAATATAGCATTACAATATTGATACTACTGCTCATTATAGTTATAATTGAGCCTAAAATGTTTATGTGTCATATTTAGATCAACAAGTAAGTAAAATCTATTATCTTAGTCTATGTAAAGTTTATTTATTTGGTATTTAAGATGAAGCAATAAGAGAACAAATTAATTATGTTCTTAATGAAGATGAAATTATAGGAAAAGGACCTAATAGAACTCTTAGTATGATTTTTGATAGAATTAAGAAATTGAATAAAGGTAAAAAGCATTTGAAGATTACTTGTAATAATGCTGGGAGACAAAATAAAAATAATGTAACAATTTGGTTTGATTTATATTTGGTAATTTGTGAATATTATGAAAGTATTGAATTAAATTTCATGATTGCTGGATATACCAAATTTAAATGTTATAGTAGTTTTGGATTGATTAAAAAACTTTATAAAAATACAAGTATAGATTGTGTGAACTATGTTGTAAAAGTTATGAAAAGATCAAGTCTAGCTAGATTGAATAAAGCTCAATACTATGAAGATGAAAAATGTTTTCAATACTTAGATATTAAAGCAATTTTGGGAATTTATTTTAAGAAATTACTAAGTATCCAGAAATATCAACATTTTCTTTTTGAAGCAACTAATCTTAATACAGTAAAAGTTCAAAAAGTTATTAATAGACTTTTTACTGAATCCAATTTATTGAAAACTAAGAATGCAGATATTTTTAAAGAGATTAAGGTCCTATCTATTTTAGTATTAATACCACCTCCTTTGAACTATAAAAGACAAGAATATCTTTATCATAATATTCGCCTATTTGTGAAAGATAAATACAAAGATATTACTTGTCCAAGACTATTCTATACTGACAATAAATAAAATATTAATCTTTTGACAAATATTATTAGCTTTTTTTACTTTTAAAATAAAAATAAAACACTAAAATAATTTATATACTTAATATGCCCTCATAAAAAAGATATAAGTATATAAAAAAATAAAAAAAGTAAAGTCATGATAAATATCATAGAAGCACAAAAAAAGTAAATAAAGAACTATTAGAAGAAAACAAAAATTTAAGACAACAATTAGTTGAATTAATAAATAAAAAATAAGATTTAAAACTAAGAATCTATAACGCAATTGAAAATGTTAAAGAAAGTGAAAGTACAGAAATTGCTGATACTTTAATAACCTTAGAACAACACTTTTTATCCAAAGATGAATTAACCTTTGAAAATTTTGTTAAGAGTTGTACTGAATGAACCTGAAATAATTGTAATTCTTATAGTTTTGTTTCTGAAAAAAATAATGAATTAGAAAAAAAGAATGCTATTTTAGAAACAAAGATTGTAGAATTAACTCCTTATAAAGGGTAAGTTGAAGAATTAAAAACAAAACTTACAGAAACCTTATCAGTTTGACATAAGAAATAGAAAAGATTGATGATATTTCTTGAAATAAGTAAATTTATAACTGAGACTTAGGAGAATTAAAAGAATTAAAAGCAGAATAAGGGAAGATTTAAATAAAGTTATTTTCACAGTTATTGAAAAATTATATCAAACTTCTAAAGATCTAGCCAAAGCAATTAATACAGCTGAAGAATGAAAAAACTGACAAAAAGGACTTTTAAATGATGAAATTAAAGCATAAATATTAATGCTATAAAATGTTAATAGAATGCTTAAAGAAGAAATAGCAAAAAATACAAAATTACAAGAGGAGTTAGAAGAGAAATCAAAAATGTTAGTAAAAAGTGAGAAAAGAGAAGAGAAACTAAATAAATAGTTATATTTGAAAAGAAAAGCCTTGCCTGCTCTACCTAAAAAATAAAATACTTTTCAAAAATTAGATTCAAAAATTAAAACCAAATTCCAAAAACTTCAACAATTGGTAGAAAATAAAAAATATCAAACCCAAGAATTTACTGCTTAAATAAAAGTAAAAGTTAATTAGTTTACTTTACTACTATGAAAGAATTACTTTACATATTTTAGAGTTAGAAAAATGACATAGCAGTAATTCTACTTGTGTTTTTTGCTTTAGTTTAAAAAAAGCAGTATGTCAAATCAGAATATGAAGTAAAGTGACTGGTAAAATGATTAAAACTGATAAGGTTTATGAGAATTATAAAGAAAAGTTTGAAAATAATGAGTTATCTAAATGCAATTGTGAAAGATTAAAGATTAGATACATTTGTAATTATAAAAAAGAAGGAAATGAAAAAAAATTTCCTAAATTGCCTAAGGAATTAGAAAATATATTTGCTTTTTATGATAGGCAAATAAATTTTTTAAGAGAAGAATTAGCTATTGCAGAGGAAGTCCTAGAAATTGAAAGAGAAGAGGTAACTAAATTTTAAAAAAAATCTGAAAAGTGAAGTAAAAAATAGAACAAGAGTTATTAAATAAGATAAAGAGTTTAAAAGAAAAAATTAGACAACTAGAAGAAGAAAACAGGAAATTAAAAGATCAATAGAATGGTCAAATTGCTTAAATTGAAGTTAAAGAGACTAAAAGATGATCTTAATTGAAAATAAGAATATAATTTCCTCTGTATAATTCTAATTATCAAAGAAATGGTATTTATTTTGCTTTTAAAGATTTTTGCTTTTTATTAGATAATAATATACCTTTATACTGCTTTTTTTTTCTAACATTTATTATTTTTCTTTCTTTTTGATAAATTTCATAAGTAATCCTTTCTTTTCTTAGATAAGCTTCTAGTATCTGAGTATCATCTATTTTGAAAATATAAGAAGCAATTTTTTCATCTTGTTCTTTCTTCAAAATACTTCTAATAGTGCTGTAATTCTTGGGTTCCATAGTAGATCTGATGTAAATGAGTTTTATATTAACTATTTTTATCTAGATGAATATCATGAACATATTATATTAATAACACAAATGTGATTTTAAACAAACCTATTGATCTCTGAAATTTTTAGTAATATCAATGTTTACTTTGTTTGGTTTTGTTACAGTATGCCTTATATAATAATATATAATAAAAATATATGTAAATTATAATA